CAGAACAGTGCTCCAACCACCTTTGCCACACCCTGGACAGAACCCTATTGAATTTTTTAATTTCCTTGTGTCATGATGTCTTTAGAATCAGTTAAATTTTTTTGATATATTTTATTGATTATGCTGTTACAATTGTCCCATTTTTCTCCCCTTTATTCCCCTCTGCTCTGTATTCCCCCTCCCACTGTCATTCGTCCACCTTAATTCATGTCCACGGGTCATACATGTAAGTTCTTTGGCTTCTCCATTTCCCATACTATTCTTAACTTCCTCTTGTCTATTTAGTACCTACCATTTATGCTTCTTATTTCCTGTACCTTTTCCCCCATTCTCATTTCACCCCCTCCCTTCTGATAACCCTCCATGAATCTCTATTTCTGTGAATCTGTTCCTGTTCTAGTTGTTTGCTTAGAGCTTCTTAACTCAAGGCAGAGAAGATGAGCACACAGCCAGCCCTAGAGGAATACTCAGAATCTCATTGAAAGGAAAAGCAGCTTGAAAAAGCTTATTCAAGTTAAAATATTATTTTGCACTTGAAAAACAACAGCAACAAAAATAACAACAGAAATTCTATTGTTTCAAAAATAGTAATGTATCAATGTAGATACAATTAGTGTTGAAGGAAAAGACTGAAATCCTAAACAAAAATTCTTGAAACACAGCATTTTCTTCCTTTTGCCTGTAGATGGAAGATGTGTCATGTTGTCAAAATCTGATTATCAGATACTTGGATATCTGAGTGAGCTTTCTGTAACATCAATGCTGCCAAACTCTTCACACTTAATTGGTATTTACATCATAGCCAGCAGAGAGGTAAATGAGAGGCCACCTAAATTATAAACTCACTGTCAAATATTGTGACATAAAATATGGTGAACAGTAGGGTTTTGTTACCTCAATTGTAGGCCCCAGTGGCTTTGGTGCCTTAATATATTTACTATGTAGCAGATTAATTTCATCACCCTTATTGAAGATGCTGGAGAAAAATCACAAAACTGCTTAAACGTAGGTTACTGCACATCTATGGTTTCTGCCTCAGATGGGCCGTGAGTTCCATCCAAAAGTCTTGTGATATGGATTTGGGTCTTAGCTCTTCCAATCCTGCATCTAAATCATTTTCCTCTCCCTGGAGTGGTAGTACCACAGCCAATTCACTGCCCTCATCCAGGGATTCTTGGCGGATGAGCTACTACTCATCCTCCACAGCAGAAATTTGAGGCCATCCTTACCTGTTTCTCACCCTTTTCATCTCATAAGCCATTAAGTACTATCTCTTATTTACTTCTTAAGGATTACTTCTTTCTGTTTCTTGGCTCAGGCTCTGTCATTTATTGCCTGGCCTATTTAAATAGCCTCTTAACTGCCCTTGTTTTTCCAGCCTTGCTCTCTTCTAATCTCTCCTTAATGTTGTCACTAAGGAGCACAAATCTAACCATGTAGCTGACTCCAGGGGAATACTTCATTGGTTCCCTATGGTCTGAATAAGGGAATCAGTCTTTAGTCTTACAGACTGAGCCTGTCTGTAATCTGCCCTATTTACCATGCCAGCCTCATACTCTCCAGTTCCAGACCTCACCCTTCCACACTGTCACACCATCAGTCTCTGGACTGCATCTTGCTCCTAGCATGGCATGCAGTCTTCTGTAGGTCAATATAAGTTGAAGGTAAAAAAGAACAGATTTTCTTTTCTGCCTACTACTCATTGTGATTTGTATTTGTCTCCAGGAAAAATGTCTGACATGATAAATTTATTATGGATTCAAGAATTAGAAGATATTTGAAATATAACTCGTTTCATTCACCTGTTTGATAAATAAATCTCTTTTCTATCACATCTATTGGTGAGCTTTCAAATAACTCTTAGGTCAGTGAGCTAATTACCCCTACCAACAAACTATTTAATTTCCAGAAAACCATGATAAAATGTTCAATGCAAAATTTTTATTCATATAGCCGTTATTTGCTGATACTAGTTCTTGATCTTGGTTTCTGACAGAAAAAATCATTATGATGGTACTTAGGTAATTGAAGACAGATGCATTTTTTCCCTATGGTCTCCTTTTCTCCCTGACCATACAAGTTATATAAAATATGCTTCTTATTTTATGGTGTTAACTCTCCTTGCCTTTCTGGGGCTCCTTTAGCTGGCTCCAAGTTGTCTGTGTATTTATGTGTTTACCAACTTGTCTACCACACAGAAGCATTCAGGACCTCTCTCTTGGTGGTTCTTGCACTTATTAGTGCAGCCTGATTACATTAGATGCTTGGTAGCATCATCACTTTGTTGACTCATTTTAAATAAAGTCATTCCTTATTACTACTTACAGACAGAAACCATGTATTCTTACCATCCCATTCTGTTTGTTGAATTTTGGTTGAAAGGTGAATACATAAATTTGATACAAGAATACAATAATTCTTGAAGAATTATATTTTTCACCTAAATTTTATCCCTGTTGAATTTCATCTTAAATATTATTTTATGAATTCTGATTACCATAATATTACATATCCAATATTCTCCCCAGCCTTTTTTTAATGCAGAGTTTATGCCATTTTCCCTCCATTCACTGTGACAAGAGTTCCTTTTCACTTACATATAAAGTTAGAGAACTGAGCTATTACTGCTTCCTCATGAGAGTTTGATAACCTCCCCTGGCCTTTGTGAACTGCTACCATCAGATGAGGTATTGCTTATTCTAAGTGACTTACCTGATCTAGAGAAATTAAAAATTAATGAATAAGTAGATTTTCAGAAGTAAGAAAAACTTCATATAGTAAATACTAGTTGTCTTTCCCCTGATACTTTAGTTTTTCTGTGTGTTTCAGGCGGGAGGTCATTTGGGAGACCTAACTTAAAAAAAAAGCACTTAGAATAAAAAGATGGCAGTAGGTGGCAGGGGATCTTATAACAAGGCCAGGAATCTTTATGTCATTGAATTTTACTTCTCTTGCAAGTAGCCTGTGAAATTTTGCTTTGCTCTATCTTTCTTATTACAATGCTAATAAAAATAATAGCAACAATATCTTACATTTGCGCAGCACTATGGAGTTGATCCTGTTGTTAAAGTATAATATTTCAAAAGTTAAAAACAATATGTTCATGTAAATATGAAATAAACATGTGCCATAAATTTTATTCAACTCATTAATTAATGAGGCATCCAGTAAGATAGTGGGAAAAAAAGTATTTATTATTCCATATACGAGTGAATATGTGGAATCATGGAATCAAATGAACAAATTGGACTAATTAACAAAATAGAAATAGACTCAGGGATAGAGAGCAGGATGATAGCTATAGGGAGGGTTTAGGGGGTGGAGGGATCAACCCCAAAGGAGAAAGGACTCATGGACATGGACAATAGTGTGGTAATTTCAGGGGGGTGGGAGGGGAGAATAAGGGGGATTAATGGTCATGAAAAAAATGCAATAAAAATAATATTATTTTAAAAACCTGATTCAAAATATATTTGAAGAGCTCGGTATTTGTGACTATTTAATAAAGGGATTTTAGAATAAGATTCCTGAATTACATTTCAAACTGGTTAATGTCTAGAGGATCATAAGCTATAAACTTTGGAGTTAAGCTTTCCATTGAACAGAAACTTTTTGCATCTCTTACAAACAAAAATCTTCAGGTTAACCTCTGTCTCCATGGGGCTGTAAATAGCCCAGTTGATAGGAATGCCATCAAAGGTGCCAGTCCAGCACTGCACGAAAAAAGGACTCCTGGGGATCTCTTTTGTCCGTCCCTAAGTTTTAGGTGATTTTTCTCACTCTGTCTTTGTATTGAAAGGCATCATTAAAACTTGTTAATTTATACAAGATTATATCTTTGATTTTAGGAAATAATTTAGCATAATTTATATGTAAAATGTAGCCACAGAAAGTGGTTTGTGTGAGTATATGTTTTAATGCCAAAATGTTTACATTTCATAAAACAGTATTTTGTAATGTCATAGGGCGTATGTATTTTGAGAAGGCAGTGTTTATGGAGTTTTTATATTCTTGAATAACTTGGTGTTTTAGAAATTAGATATGGGAATATCAACCCAATCATTGCTCTCAGGATCCTTCTGCTGTGTCTCAAAGTAACTTTTTGCTATTTTATCTCTGAGAATTAGTTTTCCTAATACCAGTCCTGTGCTGTAGGAAAACTAAACTACTCCTGCTTAATCCCACAATGCATAATGATTTTTCCAGTGATCTTGGCTTAGGCTACTTCTTTGGCTGGAATATAGTCTGACATGTTTCTGTTTGCTGGACTTTCCAGCACATTTGAAAATCTCCACAGAGCACTCCCTGATCTCAGCTCTAAGGGACATTGTTAACAAAACTTTGCAACTGCTTATGTTGCTTATGACAGATTGTCTTTGTTATTTGTGGGTCTGCCTTGTCTACTCCACTAGATTATACATTTCTTAGGTTTAAGTGCTGAGGTCTTGTTTTATTTGTTTTTGTATTTCTAGAGGAGCAGTGCTTAGCATGGAGCCTTGTGTAGTCCAGTGCCCTTTTGAGTGTTCATTCAGTTGAAGGGAATATTATTGTAGAAGATGGTGGGGGAGAACATGCCATGTGCCTCATTCCAGTAATACCATCCCATGAAGTAGTTTAATACTTTAGTCAAATCATTTTGGATCACTGCTGAACAAAAAGTTGAGTACCTATTATGCATCAAGCATTGTGCCAGATACTTTGACAGAATGATAAAGCATAGCTTTTGTCTTTAAGTCCTGTGTGGCCTACTGGAGGAAAATAATAAATAAATGCAACCTACTATGATGCGTGTTAAAGGTCACACAACCTGTGAGCAGTGGAACTGTAATTAAAATTCAAGTGTGCTCAGCTACAAGGTCACCAAGCTAAAAGATACTTCTAGAACGGAAAAACTAGCTGGGCTAAGACTGACTTCTCAGAAGAGCAAAACAGGAGCCTTGTTCTGCCTATTATGTGAAACTGTTACTAAATCAAACAATTTTGTCTTATTTGCAAACTAGGTCCTTCAGAAGCTTGGGAAAGCTGATGAGACAAAAGACGAACAGTTTGAAGAATATGTCCAGAACTTCAAACGGCAGGAGGTAAGTTCACTTCTCTGGTCTCTGGAGTAGGGAATGGTTTGACTGTGTTTGTGCTTTCATATATAACTAAAATGCTTTAAAGTTGAACAGAGAACTTCATTGGGGTGAGTGTTAACCTGAGGGCAATGCTTGCTAGGTCTGTAGACTTACCTGTTGACAATTCCTTCAATTGCTGCAAACATGCAAGATCACACATTCTCAGTGGTGATTATATCTCCCCCGCTAGGGTGAAAATTTGTTCTTTTTTATTATTAAATGTATTTTATTGACTATGCTATTACAGTTGTTCCTTTTTTCTCTTCTTTATTTCCTTCCGCTCTCTACTCCCCCTCCCACCAGCATTCCCCCACCTTAGTTCATGTCCATGGGTCATACATATAAATTTTTTGGCTTCTCCGCTTTCCATACTATTCTTACCCTCCTTCTGCCTATTTTGTACCTACCATTTATGCTTCTTATTCCCTATACCTTTTCCTCTATTCTCCTTTGACCCCCCTCCCTGCTGATATCCTTTCAGTGATTTATTTCTGTGAATCTGTTCCTGTTCTAGTTGCTTTATAAGTTCATTTTTTGGTTTTGTGTTTTTTTAGGATTGTTGACAGTTGTGAGTTTGTTGTCATTTTATTGTTCATATTTTTGATATTCTTTTTCTTAGATAAGTCTCTTTAAAATTTTATATAATAAGGGCTTGGTGATGATGAACTCCTTTAACTTGACCTTATCTGGGAAGTACTTTATCTGCTCTTCCATTCTAAATGATAGTTTTTCTGGAGAGAGTAATCTTGGATATAGGTCCTTGCCTTTCATGACTTTGAATACTTCTTTTGAAAGAAGAGGTCAAAGCTCCAGAAAAAATACAACTAAGTAATGAAGAGATAGCCAATCTATCAGATGCCAAGTTTAAAATGCTAATAATCAGGATGCTCACAGAAATGGTTGAGTATGGTTGCAAAATAGAGTAGAAAGTGAAATAAAGAAAAACGAACAGGGAACCGACAGTGATGGGAAGGAAACCAAGAGTCAAATCAATGGTTTGGAGCAGAAGGAAGAAATAAACATTCAACCAGAACCAAATGAAGAAACAAGAATTCAAAAAAATCAGGAGAGGCTAAGACAACTTTAAATGTTCCAACATCCAAATTAGAGGGGTGCCAGGAAAAAAAAAGAAGAGCAAGAAATTGAAAACTTATTTGAAAACATCATGAAGGAGAAATTTCCAAGTCTGGCAAAGGAAATACTCTTCCAGGAAGCTCAGAGTCCCAAACAAATTGGACCCAAGGACGCAGATACCAAGGCACATCATAATTACATTATCCTAAATTAAAGATAAGCAGAGAATGTTAAAAGCAGCAAGAGAAAAGGAGACAGTTACCTACAAAGAAGTTCCCATAAGACTGTCAGCTGACTTCTCAAAAGAAACCTTAAAGACAAGAAAGGGATAAAAAGAATGAAAATTGGTTCTTGGTGGGTGAAAAAATCATACTCTTTTTATGTGTATATATCACATAAACACACATATACATATATATGTATATATGTATATATGTATATGTATGTGTATACACACACACACACACACATATATGGGGGCGACTTTTCTCACAAGTCTCCCCGTCCACCACGGATGAAAGTACACACTTCCAAGACATGATCTGCTTGGGGAGGAGAGGTGGCTGATTCTTCAAAAGGGGAGGGCTTTGAGCAGTGGCCAGTTTCTCAGAGGAAAAAGGCCTTGAGTTCCTTTGTCCAGGGGCTTTTATTGGGTTGTAATACACAGGAATATGGGGTGGAAAGGATCAAACAGTAGATAACATTTCAAAGAAATCTGAGGGCTTAGTCTGAGTCAGAGTCTGTCAGGAAAGGAGTTTTGCAGAAACTTTTAGGGTTTCCTGCTCGGACCCTTAACATATGAATGAAAGCACTCTTAGCAGAGCATTTTTCATAGGTTTTTTCAGGAATTCTTTGTGATGCCAGATTTTTCCCCGATATCTGCTCTGGCAAGGCAGGGAGCTGCACCCCTCCCCATCAGGTATTCAGGCTTAAGTGGATTAGAGCCAGGAAGCGAGTTTTCCAGAGGACATGGAGACTCAGGCTATGTCAGATAGCTGGGGGACACGGCTTTATTGCTTGCTCTTTGTTGCAGCCCCCCGAGTCCTTCCATGATGGCCTCCCAAGTGATCATGTCTGGCTTAGGTTGCTCCTCCTCTGAGGGAACTTACCTGTCAACAACATAGACCATGCTTTGGGGCAGGGAGAGGAATCTGAGGCAGCATTAGCTACCAGAGACAAGCTTTGTCTCCTGTGGCTTGCATTCCAGAGATCACTGGCTCATCCTTAGCCATGGGAGGTAGTTACAATTCCTGAAACCAGGCAGAGCGGTCCACAACATATATATAGTATATCTGTGGTATTAAAATTTCATGGGGGGTGATATTAGAACAAAATGTCTAAAAAAGCTCCTCATAGGAAATCAATATGAAAAAAGACAGAGAAACATGATTTGTAAGATTTGTTTCTTTAGAAGGCTTGTATGTGTTTAACAGACACATGAATAAAGACACTTTTAAAAATTATTTCTTTATGTTTTTAGGGTTTAAATAAGGTTATATCATATTTCTCTTTAGAGATCATGCCTGAAGGTCAGGGACTGGGAAGATACAAGCAGGGTCTCTGAAGTTAGGAGCTTCAAATCCGGAGGTCATTCTAGAGGGGAGGTGGAAAGAAGGTTTTGCCAGAAGGTTTTAACCCCTCTGGAAAATGTGGTTTGGACATGGAGACAATGTAAGGACATGGATTTATCTTCCTGCTGTCATTGGTGCTACCAGTGTCCACAGAAGAAATTGGGCCTCAGAGATGAGTATGTGAAAAAAGAGAAGGGGGTTGGAGAAGAAAAAAGTAATAGAGAGAAAATAAATGATGTCCAATAACTGAATTTTATAGAGAGCTTTGGATTTATGAAGATATAAAAAAGGAATGCCTAGAGAAATGTTTAATATAGGCCTATAGAATAAGGTGTCCCCAGTCTCCTCTGGGAAAACAGATTTTCTACATGTTTTTATGTTCTCATTTGGTGAGCTCTCATACAGTCCCTCATTCATTAGGATAACACTCATACAGGTCATTGTCTTAGATCGAACAACTTCCCACAGAAAGCCTTGTCAATTGGTTCCTGGGATGGTAGGGCGATCCCATAAGTCTTTTTAAGGGGTTGGATTTGTATAGAAGTGACTCATGTTTGCAGTTTTCCTTACTTAAGGGTTTACACTTTTTCCTTTGAAACTTATTCTTCCTACCTGGTATATGTCTATGGAGCTAATTGGTTTTTTTTTTTCCTGATTTTTAAAAAGATTTTATTTATTTTTATTTTTGAACAGAGGGGAAAGGAGGGAGAAAGCAAGATGGAAACATCAATGTGCAGTTGCCTCTCACGTGCCCCCACTGGGGACCTGGCCTGCAACCCAGGCATGTGCCCTGACTGGGAATTGAACTGGCGACCCTTTGGTTTGGAAGCATCAAGTTCTATAATGCACTTATAACTAGGAAGCACTTTGCATTTTGCAATTGCAGTGAATTTTTATTGCTCCTTTTTGGACTATTGACTGAACCAGGTGAAGATCGTTTTTTTATTTAATTTTTTACTTATTGACTTTAGAGAGAAAGAGGAAGAGAGAGAGAGAGAGAGAGGGAGGGAGAGAGAGGAGAGAAGAGTGAGAAACATCAATTTGTTGTTCCACTTATCTATGTATTCACTGGTTGATTCTTGTGTGTGCCCTGACTGAAGATCAAACCTGCAATTTTAGTGTATCAAGATGCTGCTCTAACTAGTTGAGTTACTTGGCCAAGGCTAGGATTGTTTTTCTGTCTAAAGTGCTAGAGACAAGTGCAGTTGAATAAATCATCAGTTTCATCAGTTAAAAGATCTGTGCCACTAGGAGCTGAAGCAGGGTATAACTTTAAAATGCTTCTCTGCCATCCATTTTTGTTACTATATACATTTTCAAATAATATTTTATAAAGTATTATTTCAAACAATATAGTATTCCAGACATTTTATAAAATACACATTTTATACATTTGTCCAAAATGTGTAATATATTACTATTATTGAAACCCAGCATCTTAGTTCTCTGAAGAATATTAGTAGAATTCAATATCTTGGTAAAACTTCAAAATTGTGAAATTGGGGAATATTTACACAAGAAATCTACTCTATAAGAGTGAAACAAATAAAATGAAACTGTAGAAATATTATTTCTTGGGGAGTCTTCCAACTGCCTTTTGAAAATATTGCACAAAAGATCTTGAATTTTCATATACTCATTTGGATGTTTTCTGTTTTAATCCCAAACAGTAAATTTGTTATTACTTTAGTTCAATGAGGAGGGATGGTATCTTAACTTGTATTTTAGAGGGACACAATGAAAACAGGAATAGGGTGGGAAGAAAGTAAGGAGATAGATTTATTAATTTGGGAAGAAAAGCTGAGCCGAATTTATTAATACTCTATAAAGAGAAAAACATCCCTTTAACCACCAGTATGTATTGTTGACCAAATCACTTGCGTTGCATATCTGAAAAAGGTGTGGTGCTTATGTAGAAACAGTAACCTGAGAAGAAAGACATAACAAGGTGCGGTGACCTCTACAAGGCATATGATTTTAGTGTTAATGTAATGGTGAATCGTTACTCTAAAGGCAAAGGCATTATCTAAAAGCAACACATGCTAAAGAATGATCTTACCTAGGAAATCTAGGTTTCATATTTTTTCTATGATTATATATTTTTCAACTCTAAGTAGATACCATTTATAGTATAAAAAAAGCATATTTGAATTTGTACATTACATAAATCATCTGATCATACTGAGTACTTACTCAAAAGTAGACCATTTTAGAATGTTCCATAAAATATTCAAACATTTTGGGCCCTGGTGATCTTGCTTCTAAATTCCACTTAATAAAATCATAAGAGTTCTTATAATTATTGGCATATTCTCTGCT